ACTGATTAGTGGAGAATAAGCGGCAGGAAAAACAGACCGGAATGCCCTAAATAGGACTCCATGCCCATGTCATCACCTCATTCTCACCATTCGGAATGGAGAGAGATAGCATAGTGGCTACTAGCTAGTAGCTAGCAGCCAGGTGGGGTCGGCATGGGCCTAAGGGTACCTATGGGCCTAATTGGCCAGCTTTCAGCGGAGTTTTTGCCATTTTCTACTGGCGCAGCCTCCTGAATCGCGTTCCGGATCGCCTGACACATTTGGGAGGTCATAGCCTTTTTTATCGCGGAAAGTGCCTCTTAAGGGCGGCAACTCCATGAGATAACGAGGAGGACCCAGTCAGACCTGTCCCAAAGAGTCGATAAGGATCATGACAAACCTGGTTCTCCGGGGATTCCTGGTGGTCCAGGTGGTCCAGGTGGACATGGATTGCATGGAGTTGGGGCAATTTGTTCGCAAACCTTAATTTAAGGAGATTTTCTAAGTCAAGCGGCCTATCAGTTAGAAAACTTACCCTTGGTGGACGACCTGGGATTCCTGGTGCTCCATCTGCTCCTGGTCTACCTGGTCTTCCGTTTTTGCCAGCTCTGCCTTGAATACCAGGTTCACCGGGAAGACAGCATCCTGAACATTAAAGGTTTTGCCTTGGTGATTAATAAGCAAAGTGGAACCCAATCATCATAAACATTCGCTTTTGACACACAAGCTTCTATCCTTGCAATCAAAGCCAAACGAACCGGGACAGACGGCTGCCTGCCTCTTTTCTCTCTTTCCGAGGGTAGAATTATGAGGCACTCCTGTTTCGGAATCCACCAAACGAGGGAACGCTCCCCTTTTATCGCCAGTCGGGGTCATTTGTCGAATTTGTTCCATGGACTTCTGAACTACGCCTATTCAAAGAATGATGTAAATTTGCCAGCATTTGCAAAATGACCCGCCTGGCAATCTGCCAAGTCTCGTTCGATGGTCGTCTTCATAAAAGAGACGTAGTTATTGGCCATCGGAATGCTAACGGACATGGCCATGATGGAGATGAGCGTGAAGGCCGTTGCTGTGTAGGTGACCCAACAGAAGACCCGATCTCGAGTTTCGTCCATCTGAAAACAAATTAGCTCCACTTTCACTTCAGCGCAGCCAGTTAGAAGAATCAGAGCCAGTTCATCAAAAGGTGTAGGAATGTTCAAATGAAAACGACCTTCTCAGCCTATAAAAAGGTGAATAAAAAAAGAAACCAGTTACTACACTCGAAAACCTTCTACAACCTCCCAAAGGTTTGTAGTTAATGTTAAATTAACCATAACCTTATTCCTTTTGTGTGCCCTGAACATTCTCGAAAGGTTTCCGCCTTAGCGTCAGCCTTTCTCGGGGAACTTAGAGAAAGGGGGATTGGTAATCCAAAATTCTTAACGTGGGAGTTGAAATTGGAAGCTGAGAAGCAGGGCACATCCTTGGTTGGGAATTTCGGTTAAAACCGTACGACCCTCCCTCTAAAAAGTGACTTCATACCCCCCCCCCCCTTATTTCTCTATTTTGGAGCGATAGAGCTGTCGAGCGAGGGAGGGGGGCGAAAAGCCAACAACCGGGAAACGTTTTTCCCAACGCCGCGAATTTCTCTCAGAAGGCAAATACGATCCCCCGCCTCCCAACAGCGAGCAGATACGACCCCCACCTTCTTCCCTCATGGAGTTAGTGAAAATGATGTGGCGAAAGGCATAGTGCCGGGACCATTTATTGTAGTTAATATTCCACACGATCGATTGAAATCATTGATTTTTATGCAAGGGGCCCGGAACAGGGAAGTGCATTCATTTCCCATTCGAAAATGATTTTGCAGAAGCAAAGGAATCCATAGTACCTTCAGCTAGCTAGCTTGCTAGGTAACTGGGAATAACTGGAAAAGGTGGAGGGCCCTCTGTCAATCGTTCCTGAATCGGTATCCGATCTGAAGACCTGCGCTGACGATAATGGCTACCTTCTTCCATTACACTTTCCTCGAAAATTTGGGTTACTGGGTAGTAGGGAGGTCACCATGAAGGAAGACATCTCTGACAGGGCTGAGAGCTCGAAAATTCCAAAGTATTTTGAAAAGTAGTAGAGAATTTTCAAGTGAGCGTGACAGAGAAGCACATAAACTCACCTTGACTAAGCGATGACAGGACCGGTAGCTGTCCAGACTCCTAGGTGTCTTTTATAAGACACCGCCAGGGTCTCGTCATAAACATTTCGTTCCATCGCTTCGTCCACAACAGTGGTGGCTGGCAGTTGCCATAAACATCACCTTCATTCTTTACCTGTACAACAGATTTTCGAACAAAGCAGTAACGTATTTGCAGCAATGGAAAATTACAGATTATTGTCTCCAAAAGACCCTGGAGAGGTGATTCCTCAAGTGGGTCCACATGTTGCCCTCATGTTTCATAGAAAAACAAAAAAAATTTGAGGTAATTAAGTAAAAGTTGAAGAATTCAAAAAATACCCGAAAGTAAGACGAAGAAAGTGAAAAGATCTCTTAAAGAATCGCTATAGCGCCCCTCCCATAGAATTTTTTGCCGCGAAACCGGTACAAGGTTGTTCGTCGCGGACCACTCTAACCTCCTGACGCCATATTTTCAACTTCGATACCTGATCGCGGACCGTGCCTTTAATATTTGTTCTCTGGAATGACTTGTGGAGCCAACTGGTCTAAAACTCAGTGTTTCCATCACACGGCAATCGAACAAATCGTATACGGAGGATTGACCCACCATTGCAGGGTTTGATTGGTCAATATAGGGGATTCGATTAGTATTTTAATGCAGGAAA